AAAGTAATTGCCAGAGCAGCCTCAACTACCCATCAAATCTCTATCTCTCTCTGTGTGTTTGTGTGTGGTGGGGAGGGGGTGAGATGAGGAAACAGAGCATAGAAGCTCCACTTTTGGGCAGTGGTGGAAATTCCAAGAGAAGGAGATGGAGCAGAGTTTTGGGTCTCCTCCTCTCACTCATAGCCATAATATGTAAGTTTTCTCTCAATTTGCTTCAGTCCAATTTAATTTTCTTTGATTTCATCATGACCCAAATTCTGGAATATCTTGAAAATGCCATTATTGCTTATCTGAATTTTGGGTCCTTGAGTTCATATGATTTTGTTTTATTTTCCCTTGTAAATTAACACTATTTTGGCTGTAAATTGGTTTCTATATGCTAGATCTTGAATCAAGGCTGCTAAGAGATTAATAGTGGTTGCCACAAGATATTAAAAGAAAAAAAATTTACAAGGATTCTTGGTGAACCTGCATGGGGTAACTGTTTGTTTCAGTTTCTTCACAATATGAATATATAATAATAGCTCACCTCGAGTCCTGTAAATTTTATTGTCAACCAATCATAATGCATGTGACCAGATACTTTAAAAGAAAAACTAATCAATTTGGTGAAAGATTGGCTGGACCTTGCTTCTATGGGAAATGTCCAGTCCAAGCCCCATTCTTCCAGGTTAAGGTTCATAAAATTCTTTTCTATGTAGTTTTTTGTTTGAAATAAATGGTTTGTGTTTTTGTCTACCAACAATATCTTCTTCCTGTTTTACTGAATTTTATGTTGGTTTTCAACTATATGATGCTATGATATCTCACGGTTTAAGGAAATGTGGTTCTTCAAGGAGCACAATGGGGGCATGATTAATGTAGCCATCCCTAAATAGTTGTGTTAAATTCTTTGTTGTTGTTGTTGTCGTTGTTGTTGCTTTCAATATTTATGCTCAAAAAAAGTAATTTCACTAAAGGTTGTTCTTGTGTACATTTTCAGTTGTTTGCCTTACACTAGGAGGAAACCTAAGTGTGTGGGTGGTAAGAGATGAAAACAAGCACAATGGCTGTGTGCAATTTGAAAATAAAGAAATTGTTGAGTCAGACCAAGCAGTTGTTGCTTCTGATGACGGTCGATGCTCGGAAATTGGTGTATCAATGCTTCGACAAGGTGGTCATGCTGTTGACGCTGCTGTGGCAACCACCCTCTGCCTTGGTGTAGTCAATCCAGCCGGTAGTGGAGTAGGAGGTGGATCTTTCATGATTGTTCGGTCTTCACCAGAATCAAATACCCAAGCTTTTGACATGAGGGAAACAGCTCCCTCAGCTGCTTCACAGGTTTCTCTCTCTCTCTCTCCCACACACACACACCCCAATTATTTTCTAGGACAATTAACCATCTTCGGGTTGGCCCATTAATTCATTGGGTCCAATTATACAGCTTCCTCAAAAAATTCATTTGATTAAAAGCCAGAGGGATCAAGTAGTTACTACGGTATGTGCATAACAATAAGTATTTGATTTCCCTTTGGTATTTGGCTGGTGAGGTGACTTGAACATTTTACCTTAAAAAATTTGACATTGATTTATTTGAGTCTCTTTGCTGTCATCTAATGTTGTTGTTGTCAACAAACAGAACATGTATGAGAACAATCCCGATGCTAAGTATGAAGGACCACTGGCAATTGGCATTCCCGGTGAGCTAGCTGGCCTTCATGAAGCATGGTCAAAACATGGACGTTTGCCCTGGAGGACTTTATTCCAACCAGCCATTAAACTTGCTAAAGAGGGGTTTGTGGTTTATCCTTATCTCGAATCATCCATTTCTAGTAGTGCGAACAAAATAATGGCTGACCCGGGCTTACAGCTAGTATATGCACCAAATGGGAAATTGTTACAAGCCGGGGATACATGCTACAATGCGGAACTTGGCCGCAGTTTGGAGGCAGTAGCAGAACAAGGGATACAAGCCTTCTATAATGGAACAATTGGGGAAAATCTAGTAAAGGATGTGAAAGAGGCTGGTGGAATTTTGACAATGGAAGATTTGAGGAATTACAAAGTGGATGTTATGGATGCAATGTCCGTGAACGTAATGGGCTACACTATCTTAGGCATGCCACCTCCATCCAGTGGAACAGTCGGAATATCTCTGGTCCGGTTCTCACTTTTTCCAATTTTTTTAACCTTTAATCGGATTAGAACATGGATATGAAAATTTGAGCTCTTGATGCTGCAGTTCACAAGACTGTGTTTGCTTTTGTTGAACTGTACTAATGTGCATTGATGAAAAACAGGTTCTAAACATCTTGAATAGCTATGGGAGTCCCAATGCTGCAAAGGGACCTCTGGGGTTACATCGCCTGATTGAGGCATTAAAATTTATGTTTGCTGTCCGGATGAACCTGGGTGATCCCAACTTCGTGAATATCAGTAAGACTATCTCTGACATGCTTTCCCCTTCTTTTGCCAAGAAACTTCAACAAAAAATATTCGACAACACGACTTTCCCTTCTGAATACTATATGCACAGGTTAGGCTTTGTCACGTGATTGATTCAAAGAAGAAATTATACATTGTACTTATCCAAAATTTGGTCAGTATTCTATTGTATAATGTGAAATTGATCGTGAACTTAAAGCATTTAGTCCTTAATTTCCAGGTGGAGCCAGCTTAGAGATCATGGAACCAGCCATTTGTGTGTTGTGGATGCAAATCGAAATGCAGTGTCACTGACAACCACTATAAACTATGGTTTTGGAGCTGGGTTGCTCTCTCCTTCCACTGGTATTGTGCTCAACAATGAAATGGACGACTTCTCGACACCAACAGAAATATCTCCCGATAAACTCCCTCCTGCACCAGCCAATTTTATCAGACCAAACAAGAGACCCTTATCTTCCATGACACCTATCATTGTTCTCAAGGTATAGGAACGCCACACATTCTCTCTCTCTTCTGACTTCTTTATATTTTTTCAGGTTTCCACCAATCATCAAAGCTAGAAAGTATTGGAAACGCCTAGTCATGGTTATAAGGATGAGAAATAGTTTTATTCTAATCCCGCATGAGAAAAGATTGTTCTGTAATGTAGTTGGTTTTTGAAATTGTAAGCTTCTTTAAGCAGTTCTTCCCTATGCACTGTTTGCAGGATAATGAATTGGTCGGGGTCGTTGGAGGTAGTGGTGGTCTATACATAATTCCAGCTGTGATACAGGTTTTTCTAAACCATTTTGTCTTGGGAATGGAACCTCTAGCGGCAGTTCAGAGTGCAAGAGTCTACCACAAGGTCGCTCACTTGATTTGGAACGTAAACTTCATTTCATTTTGATGAACCCTCTATTGATTTAACATGAACTTTGTGCAGCTAATACCAAATGTGGTTTTATATGAAAACTGGACGGTCATCGATGGTGAGCACATAGAACTCTCGGACGAGAAAAAGCAGTTCTTGGAAGAGAGAGGTCATCAACTTCAGGCTAAAGCAGGAGGAGCTGTCTGCCAGTTTGTTGTTCAAAACATTAACAACCCGATTGAAATGGGCCGTAAAAACCGAAAAGTGCCTGTAGACCAAGTATTCAGAGGAACACTTACTGGTGTTAGTGATCCTAGGAAAGATGGGAGGCCTGCTGCTATCTGATACTGATAGTCCCTGTTGAGAGTATTATTATGTAATTACTATTTAATATTGTTGAAATAAGTATACCACTTAGAGGGTATACTTGTTCTTTGTATGTTTACAGATAACTATAAATACAATTTGTTAGTGAGAGGTAGCCGGCACTTTCTTGCTTCTGGATTATAAAATTAGGCAGTTTTATGTATATAACAACAACAGTAGGGGCTGGTCCTGAATAAGTCTTGTTTTACCATTAAACCATATGCTTTGATGATTTCCAGTTGTGCTGAAACAACTTCTACACCGTAATAGAAATAACAGTAATGCCAATTTTTCTCAATATATTCAGAACAGTCGGTTCAATTACAACTCATTGAATCGACTAAACGTTTTCTGCTAACCAAATCCACAGCCCTTAGATTATTCCACTCTAATGGAAAGCATTCCATTTGTTTAGCTCAATGCACAGTAGGCACTACAACAATTAGATATATATGATGCCAATGAGTATCAGAAAAGGAAGTCACAGTGATAGCAAGGCATTGTTAAAACATTGGCCCAACTGACTAAGATGCTTTGTCCAGCAGCTGTATCGGAGTAAGAATGTTAGACTTGCTGGTCTCAACAATGCACCCATTCATGACCATTTCCTCTAGCATAAAGTGTGCTTTCTCCAGATGGAACATGATGTCCAGCTCACACTGCAAAGTCAAGCATACACCAAATCAGATAAACCCACAAAAACCAACAAGACAGAAATGTAGACCTGCGGGAAAGAAACCCAAAATTTTTTTTTTTTTTTTGGGGGGGGGGGGGGGACTTGCTCCTAAATGGGTCAGTTTTTGTTTAAATCTCTAAACTGGGAATACTTACCACATTGCCAAAATGGCGGTCCATTGTTTCGACTAACAGATGAATGAATTCCAAAATTGCAAGCTCATTCTACAGATAGACAACGAAAAAGGAAACATTTTTGAGAAAAAAGGCATAACAGAGCATCATTTTCATGAACAACACATCAAGAAAAGCATCATTTTTCCACTTGATCAAAGACGTGTTCTTCAATTATGTTTGCCCATGGATCAAGGTCTCAAATAAGATTTTGAACTTTTCAGAAGCTACCTTCAATCTGTAATGAACCAAACTGATATGCCAAACAAAAAACTTGAGCTTTTATCACGCAACTTTCAAAAATTGCTCACGTACTTGGTCTCTTCATTCATGCTAAACCCCAACCACATAGAACATGTTTGAAACACAATCAAAACATAGAAGATGAATACCACTATTAGGTCCATTGACCAACAAGGGCAATTAATTTGTGATTGGAAAGCAAGGGCCGCCTACTTTAGACTATAACTAAATCTACGATACTGCTATGTATGCTGTTAGTAGAAAACAAACTCATAAAATTAGTAAGATTCATATGCATTCAATTTTCCCAGAATCAAGCACCAGTTCATTAAAGCCACAAAGAGATAGAATAACTCACTTCTTCATTGTCAACCCCAACCAAAAAGAACAACGAAGCATATCGCCTGTACACGATTTTGTAGTTCCGATGCTCGACAAAGGAACACTGTTCCCAAATACAGAAAATCACATCAAATTATTTAAATACCTGCTCAAATAGAGATACAACTAAAATACAAGTAGTTTCACAAAAAACACGAATGACTAAATTAAAAACTCAGACGCCTAAAAATTATTGCAAGAACATAATTCCCATATGATTAAGAAACAAGTAGTATAACAATTAGGTACAAAACAAAATACAACGGCCAAAGTCGAAGACTATGTATGCAAAGCAGGAATTCAACACAAAGAAACACTATTACAATGAGTGGTCAAAACAAAAGCATGAAAAACCACCTAAATAACTAGTGTCAGGTAAGCCGTCTCCGCAGATCTAAATCATAAAAGGAAACCCCGGTGTGAAAGCTTCACTACGCTCTGGTTGACTACTATACATGACTCAATCTAAAGGGTGCCTAATTTGACAAGAAAATTCCTTCAATTTTGTTCAATTTCGTTCGTTCATAAGGGCGTAGGTTTAGATATCAGTAAACATATGTTTCTACATATTTTCATGTGGTGCAGAGGACATAGGTCTATGAATAATCACGAGAGAGAGAGAGAAGTGGGAGACCTGTTGGTCGTTACGAGCGAGGCATTTGCGGACGATTTCGCCTTCAAGGGCTCGTCTTTCTTCGAGAGTGAGGTATTCAAAGTACTGGGCGAGACGGGTTTGCCCTTGCTTGTTCACCATCAATATGAATCTGATTCCCATTTCTGATCGACAGATTGTTCGTGCGTCTGTCTGTGTGTTTGTTTGTGCGAGAGCGAGCGAGCGAGCTATGATTCAACTTTCAACTGGTATAATGGCGTACATAATATAATATCAGAAGTACCCTTCGAAAATTTTTAAATACCACTAATACCCTATCGTTCTTTTTCACAATATTTTATTACTAATTGTTGCACAAATTGAGCTGGTTATTGTGCAATATAGAATAACTAATTATTGTCTGACACGGTGTAATAAAAAAAATTAATTATAAATATATTTATATTTATACCCAAAATTAAATAACAAAAATAAAGTAGAGAAAAAAAAAATTAAATACCGCTTGTAACGTGGGTGAACGGTGGTAGTTGTAGTGGGTAGGGCTGTCAAAATTTGACCCGACATGATGAACTGATAAGAATCGATACGAATTAAACGGGTTTGGGTGATAAACGGGTTGAGGCGCCAAACACGTTTAATAAACGGATCGTGTTCGGGTGAGACCTGTCAAATCGTTTATCACACGTGTACCTGTTTAAATAAAATTAATATAATAATAAATTAATAATTATTTAAAAAAAATTAGCAAGAAAAAAGAAGTAAAAAAATCAATAAAAAAAAAAGTAAAGTAGTAGTTCAAAGACAAAGAAGAATAGTTAGAGAGCACTTCAAAGGCAAATGCAAACAAATGTCTTTTATTTTTGTCCCACATTGAAAAATGAAAAGAGATGGGGAGGGTTGAGTTGCCTATAAAAGACAATAACCTCTTACTTTTATTTTTAAAACTTTCAAGTCTTATTTTTCAAATACAAATGAGAGGAGTTGTAGAGTACTTGAAAGACAAAGGCAAATCAATATCTTTTGTTTTTGTCCCACATTGGAAAATGAGGGGAGAAGTAATAAAAAAAATAGAGTATTAAAATTTGTTGATATAATTTTTTTAAAATTAAATGGGTTAAACGAGTCGTGTTATGTTATCCGTTTATTAAACAGGTTGTGTTTATGTTGAAATTTTTTACTAGTTTATTAAATGTGTCGTGTATGGGTTTACACGTAACCATTTAATCTGACACGATTGACACCCCTAGTAGTTGGGCGATAATGGGGGTATTAGTGGGTGATAATGGTGGTGGTGAGAGACAATAATGGTTGTTGTGGATGATGACCACGTGGTGATAGCCATTGGTGACAACGATAATGATGGTGGTGAGTTTTGGGTGATGATACTGGTAGTGACATTCACGGGGGAAGGTAGGTGACAGACAACAGTGATGGTGATTGGCAGTAGTGGTGGTGGGGCAACGACGATTATGGTGGCAATAATGCTAGATGGTGACGATGATGGTGGTAGGTATGAGCGGTGATGGGTGACGACAAGTGCTTGTGGACAACGGTGGTGGTGGGTGGTGGTGAATGGCAACGGTGGTGGTGGTGAAGTATTTTGTAGAGAAATAATTTTAAAAAATAGAAGTTTCTCCTCTTTTATATATCCATAGAAGAGATGAGCCTCTTGAGTCCTTAGTGAATTTTCATTTTTCGCCCATGGTTAATCGGGTAGAATACCACATTCTTCTATTGAAAATACAAAAAATTAAATTGGGAACAAGGAGTTGCTATTGTTATTAAAGTTTGATCGTCGAAATTGCAATTAACAAGTTTGTCAATGACATTGCCTAATTATGTTATGTCTATTGAGATTTGATTATATAGAAGGCTCTAAATTCATATTTATTGTCACCAAATAGGCCAATAGCACGGTAGAGGGGGTGTGAGGAATGCCGACAAGTAACATAGGACAGGGGAATACAACAAAACAACCTAGGGGAGACATGCTACCCAATGACATAGGAGGAGGAATGCCATCAAACTCCACGAGATCAGGTGCATTCAAGATGGAAGGAGGAATGCCGCCAGAAAATTACATGGAAGGAGTGCCCGACGATGTACCAACCTTCCAATTCGAGGATATGTTTAGCAACAAGGTATTCCTCCCACCCCACTTCGCCTATAAATAAGTAAATCCAATATACAATTATAAATCGATTAAATATAAGTTATATAATTTTAATATAATATAAATCAAACATGATTCGATGAACATAACAAGACACATTGTCAACCCCGTAAACGTAATTATAAGGCATGATTCTAATTTTCTAATAGATGCTGGCAAATTCATACTTTCTATATTCACTGTCATTACATACAGTATCTAAGCAAGTACACGAGAAAAAAAAAGAATCAAATTAGCACCTAATATTGCTTGTACATTAGGCAAGGAAACATAAAACTAGGGTGAATTTCAGCACATAATCTCTTTGTGATTCAACTTGTTATCGGTGCAAGTATCATCTAACAGCTGAGTTGGTGGTTCTTCCTCCTTGTTGGCTTCGATGACATCTTTGGCACTCAAAAAGCTGGGCTGATTCGTTGAAGACAATAGCCTTGCCCACATCCTATCCGTTATCACAATCCTGTTCTGTATCTCTATAATTCTCTGCAGACAGCATTTAGCAAGTACTCCTTTGTTAGCGATAAGAAGAAAGTTTTGATGACATTGGAAAAATCTAAAAAACTTTCCATCAAGAGTATATTTCATGAGAGCAAGGGAGAGAGAGAGAGGTTTGCAATTATACAAGTAATCACCATTTCCCTGCTAAAGATATTAACTTAACAGTCATAAAATCCACCTAAATGGAGCCTTTATCAACAGAAAATTATCTACATGTAAAGTTGGCCATGAATGCGGAAACCAGGAAAGGAAGATTAGAAGATGGAAGCCCAAAAGTTGTTTCCAGAACGAATAACCCTCCATATTGTTTCACGCAATCATGAACCGAAGAGGCAAAGAGAAACTTAAAGTAACAAATCACACGAAAAGGGAGACGTCTGAAAAAACTTTAGAGTTCATTATGCATATGGCACAACCATTTAACCATAGCAAAATAAGCTTTCAGAAAGAAAGCCACAACATATGATTATTGTTTCGTGTGATCATGGACCAGACTCAAAATACAACAATAAATATAAAAATAATATAAAAATATATAAAAAAAATGAAGCAACTGAGAAAACTTTAGAGTTCATTTGGCATATCGCACAACCTTAAAACCAGGGATAAATGGTACCGTAATTACAGAAATTATCTGAACAAGAAGGTAATTTTAGTAACAAAAAAAATGTGCTGTTGCCAGGGCTCATTCTTCCAACCACACGAAGGAAAGAAGATTTCAACCATAAGCCTCACACATGCAGAAACAAGACACAATGTCTTTATTCAGAAAACATTATGAAAAGATGATCAAGGTAAATTTTCAAAAATTATCGAAAATATAAAAAAAATAGAAATATCAGTGAAATTGGAACTACAAAAAATAGAAAGTAACAAATATAACAGATCTGTTTTACGGAATGGATTGACTCACATTGAAGGGTATGTAAGCATGTCTGCCATTGACTTGCCCAACTGTAAAGCCTGTGTAGCCTGCCATTGCTCCATGAACTGCACTTTGAGCTAGGAGTGTGCAGTACACATTATCAGACGCAATGCTAGGAATAGCACGGATCATGTATGTAGGATCTGCCATGCAACAAAATGAAAGTACCACACTGGTAAATTATTGACCCCTCAATTATTTGACAGCTGTTATATTTATCAAAGAAACCACATATTACCAACCTATATATTTGAGATTAATGGTCATCTTCTTTCGTCTTGAAAAATGATCCTGCAAATAAAACCCAAAGGTTTACTGAAAAGTATCTCACGCTTAAGGATTGTGACTGATAATTAGAAAATTTTGAGCAGTGTTTTCTAGAAATTAGTATCACATAGATTTGGTATGCAAAAAATAAAAATTTACACCTCATGTTCTTCGGGCCATGTATATGAAACCAAGGGGGAATTGCAAGAAGAAAAGAGCAAGGGCCCTATTTTTAACTATCTAAACCTCCTTAATGACCAAATGGTAGTTCCATGTGCACAAATTTACTGCTCCCTTAAGAGATATCAGATGAGCGAATAGATATTCAAAATCAGATGAGCGAATAGATGTTCAAAATCAGATGCTTTCAGGACGACGTCTATTGTTAAAAATTGAGTTCTTCAGTAAGGATAGACCCAAATGATTTTACCTAAAAACAAATAAAAAATTAGAATGTCAGAGTAATATATGCATCCAGAGCTATAATTACTTGTAGAAACGAATTCAGAGGTTTGGTTAGAAGCAAGAATATGTGCACACATGCATTCACCAACAATACCACACACATAAATTCACCTGCATGTGCACACACATGCATGCACTCTTCGGCAAACAAGAACCAGTTAGGAGAAAAAAAAGTAGAAAGTGCATCAGAACTCATACCTTGATCCTGCGAGAAAGCCACAGCCCAAAATCCTGGAGAAGCTTATTTCCAGATGCATCCTGCTGATCAGTAGATTGCAAACTCTCAGAAAGAAGATCCTGTCCTGCACCCTCAGCTATGACAATAACCATGTGCCCATTTTCTTTGAGTCGTTTCTCTATATATTCAAAAAGTCCACCTGCTCCTTCAAGATAAAAGGGTGACTCCGGAATCAAGCAACAGTCAACATCTCGGCTGGCAAGCGTAGCATACATAGCAATAAACCCTGTAACATCAAGTCCACTTTAAAATAATGTAGGAGCATTGAGAAATTCATAGACCCATAGGAAAAGCAGAAACAAATATGATAATTCCATGCAGCCATATGGTAGCATACAGCAAAACAATGACATGCCAGTGAGAAAGACAAAGAATACTCAACATGTTCCCCAAATACATAGGATTACAGTACCAAGTGGTGGAGTGAAGCCTACCACTGTAGCGGCCCATTAACTTCACAAGGCCAATACCATTTTCAGAACTTGTAGCTTCAACATGAGCTGCATTAATAGCACGTTGAGCTTCCTCAACGGCAGTATCAAAGCCGAAAGACTTGTCAATTACCTGCAGATAGAACAGAAATAAAGCTATAACCAATACTGAAACGTTGGTATCGCATGCATAATATGATATTGAGAATAAACCCAGCCATTGGGAATGACAAATAATACTGGAATGTCATTATCAATAGTTTTGGGGATCCCAGCAACCGCAACTTGGAGACCACGCCTTCTAATTTCCTGCATGATGGAGGAAGATAATTTGCACATATTAAGTGCAAGTTATACTATCATTTCAACAAGAAAATGTGCATATAAGGTCACAAAAAATCAGAAATATAAGCTGATCAATTCACATGCGGAATATACAAAAACTCAAATCAGTGACAATGAAATTTTCATAAAACTAAATGTACCTCATAAATCACAGCTGCCCCTTTCTGCGTCCCATCTCCTCCAATTATATAAACCTAAATATAGAAATGCATATAACTCACAGATCTTATACACTGGTTTACTATGCAAGAGAACAAAAGCATATACAGCATACCTGATTAATTCCCCTGTCTTGAATGCTGTCAACTATCTTTGTGGTATCATGACCACCTCGTGATGTTCCAATAATAGTTCCACCACGTTTATGGATATCATTCACAATCTTGGGCGTTAAAGGGATTGTATTTCTAGCATAAAAACCTCGGTATCCTCCCTACAGGTCCACCAATCTCAGTACTTGGTAGTGCACATAAGCTCATACACAAAGTTATTAAAAAAGAAAGGGAATATGCATAGATCTAGATTTTATGATGCGACAAGATATACGATCTTTACCCACCCCAAACTAAAATATATAAAAAATAAAATGCGAAACACACAGAACCAAAAGTGACAAGTTTTCTAGCATCAAATGTTAGGAAACATACGTAGTTATGCCCTCCAAACCAATATTCACAACAGAGGCAAACGGGAAAAGAAGCCCCCCCGAGGAAGCAATTTCATGGAAATATTTCTATTCCTTCCGTGAGCGAACCAGCTTCACTTCTTGCGTTCAAGTGCAAGAAAACTCTCAATGGCCCTGTAAACAGTTCCTAAGTTTCCCTTGACTGAATCTTTATAAAGAAACTCCAAACAATGGAATTTCTATTTTATCTCATTAGGGGCCACAACAGAAGCAAGCAAAGTAGAAGCTTCGCATAAGCAAGAAGAGGAAGCGGATAAACTGCTTGAATTATATTCCCTTACCTCTATCCCCTCAACCCTCTTAACGCCATACATATTGTAGAGGCCACATACTATTTCCCGGATCACTGTGTTGATGCCAGGGCATAAGCCACCACATGTAACAATACATGCATGTACTTCATCAGACTCAAAATAAACCTGAAAAAATAACCAATAGAGTATGTTGATATCAAGCACAGGATGACTTGTCAACACATATTTCATATGTAACCCAATCAAAACTTACCCTTTGACGGGGTCCAGCACGTCTAAAATGTGTTCCTCTTGGACTATTCTTGTGTACAACGATCTGCAATGAAGATATGAATGATGTTTAAATAGGGGACAATTATCATTTTTGCAATGGCCTGTAGCCTCTACTAACTCAAAAAATCCAGTTGTTTAAGACTCATCATAAACAATCTCCTTTCTTTTTGTAAGAAATAGAGGGAAGCCATTCTTGGTAATGTAAACACCAATTTTTTAACAAAATTAAATCCATTGGTAACCTCCAGGCCTATGGCCTATGGCCCATGGCCCATGGTAGCATAAATGTCCAGGCCAACCCTTGCCAGACTCATTTACACTGATAGAAAAACAACTAATTCTACAGTGAAATCGCCACAAGAATTCTATTTCCTGAAGCTTGAAAAAATAAAAAAAAAACTCTTTCAACTAAAAAATATGTAGAAAAAACTGACCTTTTGGGCAACAGTATCATCGTCATTGACAAAATACTGCCTGGCAAAAACAAGTTCATTCCCATTAATCAATGCAAATCAAAATTCTTATGGGGCAAATGCTAAAGCTGTATAACATACAATTACATGATATCCAAGATTACTTACTTGACAACAGAGTATGCAGGATTGTCTTGCAACGGGTTTGGATAAGTCTGCCACAACCAACACGAAATAAGCATTAGCGGTATGCATCAACCTAAAAAACAATTCTACATAAGATGGTATACACACCAAATTATATAAATTGCAGTTCAACTCTAGCATCCAAACATCCAACTAAAAAATAGAGCAACAATACATTGGTTGATTAAACAATACTGAGAGAGAGAGAGAGAGTACATGAAGGTCGGGAATGTAATCTGTGAAATGAGGAACGTCCTCGAGGACATAACCAGCGTCACCAGTAACAATCTTCAGCTTAGAATTCCCGTTATTTGCCATCACGTTTGGTGAGGACCTACTAGAAAACACCACAATCCCGTTCCTTGAACTCGAAGCAACCAAGTTCGAATTCAAATTCGAACGATCAAACCAACCACCACCACCACGTAAATTCAAAAGTCGAAATCGATGGGTGAGCTATGCTATACACCGAATCCATTCAACACCAACCCGACACCACCGCCACAAAAACCTTTGAACACAAAAAACTCACAAATACAGACCGTCATTGTCTTCGTTTGTCCACGACACCCAAATAAAAACTTGAGCCTCGCCCAAGTTTTCTTAATTTCGTAAGTTTAATCGGCGTGGGTTTGGATGGCAAGAAACGGTGGCATTTCTTGAGGTTTCTTCCTGGTTTTTGACGAGAAAATGTTTAGTCGGTTCGGAACAGTTCATTCCACACAAAGTTACAGAGGGAGAGAGTGGGATTGAAACGCAGGGAGAGAAGTCGGAAATTTGAGTTGGTTCTAGATTCTGTGAATTTCAGTGCGGGGTCCAACACGAGCTCTGGTTTTAATCATATCGATTATTGCAAGAACTTATGTTTTTAATCGGGACGAATCATTTGAGCTCGACTCGGACTCGACTCGAGCTCGACTCGTTTATATATAAAATAATCGAGTTATTAAGGTTTAATTCGAATTTTAAGTGAACTGAATTTGAACAATTTTTTAAACTCATTTAAAAAAATAAAATCACAAAACTTAAGCTCAAACTCCCAAAATTCGATTCGATTAACCCTTATACAAAGAACCAATACATGAGATCTAAGATAATGAGACTTCAATGGGTGGTTGAGTTATTGGGCATCAAACTCTGTATCAAGGGAATGTAAGTCTTGAGTACAACCCAAGGGGACTGAGAATGAGGCTAAGATTTGAATTTGATTCAATCGATTGGTTTAAATGCAATTTGATAAAGTTTGGGTTGTTTATTAGAGTCATACCTCAATCCCACCAAAAACTCCATGGGTAAGTGTGAAAGGATGTCGATGAGTAATTTTTTATGAATGTCGGACATTGTTGGCTGGCTAGGGTTTAGGATCAAGCTTTTTGAATTGGAAGAAATGGTTCGGGAATATTATGAAACTACAGCTTTGAGCTTATTATAAAGCATAACAACTTTGATGTCTTTGTGGATATGGTCTTGGTTGAACCAATAATTCTATTTCTCAATTTCATAAAGGTTAATATAATTCGCATGACAATAGGTGTATATACACTTAACCAATTATTACCCCTTAAAAGTTAAAAACACACTATAAAAAATCCCTCATTCTTGAGAACTTACGATAAAAAAATTGATAAACACTTTATTCTGTTAAACTAATTTTGGCATTGGAAGTGGTTCGGATGGGACTACACCGATCCCCTACTGTAAAGGATGAAACCCTCCACTCAGGATTTTGGCTTGACCTCCGCGCATTCGGGAGTAGCCTTTACCTCTCTTCCTGAGCCGGAGCCCTGGCCTAGCCTAATGTGGGGAGGGCGCACCGTATCCCACATCGGAAGAGAGTCGTCTCCCCCCCTCGCATATAAGCCCTTGCACTCAAAGGAGGAGGTACCCACTAGTACCTGATCAGGTGCCTAGTGGGTACCTCCTCCTTTGAGTGCAAGGGCTTATATGCGAGGGGGGGGAGACGACTCTCTTCCGATGTGGGATACGGTGCGCCCTCCCCACATTAGGCTAGGCCAGGGCTCCGGCTCAGGAAGAGAGGTAAAGGCTACTCCCGAACGCGCGGAGGTCAAGCCGAAATCCTGAGTGGAGGGTTTCATCCCTTACATAAAGGCGCCTTTTTGTAAGGGGTAGAACCCTCTACTCAGGATTTCGGCTTGACCTGGGTTAACCCACGCGGGCGACCCCCCAGTAGCCTTTACCTCTCTTCGCCAATAGGACCCTTTCCTAAGGCAATCCCACATCGGAAGAGAGTCGTCTTCCCCCCTCGCATATAAGCCCTTGCACTCAAAGGAGGAGGTACCCACTAGCGTGCGGGCTCGATCCTGCACGATATATAAAATATTGGGAACAGATCTCTCCCCTGGTGAACTTTGGGTGGACAGGTTGAGTAGACAAACACGCTGCTTGAAACAGCCCACAAGGTACGGTGGCAACCGGAAACGGCAAAGGGAGATCCTGGGAAAGGAGGAACGATCCTGTACGTGTGAAAGGTATTTCCTGGAACAAAGGAGAACAAGATAGAAGGGCGCCGGAGTATTTTCCGGCGTATCCCCTCCGACGGTCTAGTCAGTCTTTGAATGAGAGAGAGGAAGGAGAAAACACTGAGAAGGATATTTCGTAGTTGAGAGTTTGAGATTGCATCCCCGCTTTGTCTTTTGGGAAGGGTATTTATACCTTAGAAGATCATGATTGCTGTCAGTGTGGTCAGTAGGTGATCATCAGGCACAGGTAGCGTGTGTAATCATTTGATGAGGAATGTCTTCTCTAATTGACTGCTCGGGGTCCCGAGCAATCAATGGTGAGTTGTCGGGACGCCGACGGTACAATATGCTCCTTTCGGGAAGGATGCAATAAATGCTCTGTAATATGAGCATTTATTGTCTTTCATATCCGAACCTTACCGCATTAAATGCGGTCTCGTCAACAGAAGGGTGCAATTAATTGTTTGCTTTCCCAAGTCGCGTGCCAGCAACGGCATGCGGTTTGTCTGCTTCGGATGTGACATTATTTGCCACGCGTCCATCCCTTATTGGCTGTTACGTCGGTATTCCAGCACGTTCTGACATTACTTGTGTAAGAAGAGGTCATGATGAATAGTCTAGACTGGCATAGGCTGATGTCCCGTACGTCAGTAACTTTATCCGTGAGTAGAGGAAGCGTCCAGGATGGAGTGACCCTCGGCACCGAGGAAAGGCTCACCTCGGGGGACCAAGGGGTGGTGTGTTTCCGAGGTACATGGTGACCGAGGACACGTGTCGTTGTATAATGCACCGAATATGTGATCCTATATGAGAGGTACCTCGGGGGGTGGACGCTTTTGCCGATGGTGCTTGAACCCGAGCAACATTGTTCTAGAATTCCCCGAGGACACGTGTCTTCATCATAGGCTTTTCAGAAGAGTCCCATCAACTGCCCCCCAGCCTTCGATCTTCTGACGCCGAGGACACGCGTTGTCAGGAGACGAAGGGTTTTCCAACTGCCATCCGTCCTTCATTATGGCCTCGAGCAGCTTTCCCCGTCTTGGAATGTCGTGCGCATTAAATGCGCCGTTTTGGTTCTCCCGCCCAATGATGACAGTTTCCCCCCTATATAAAGGGGGTTATTCTCCGGTTTCCATTGTTTTGCCATTCCGATCTCTGACCCAGAATACGCCTTTTCTGATCTGCTCGCCGGAGTTTTTGTTTCCTCAGCCATCATCGACAGCATCTTCTCTTAAAATCACAGTCAGTAAACCCATTGTTGACTCCTGGTCCTTCCGGTGCGAGTCATTCTCAAAGTTTTTCCTAAAAAACTCCGTTTCCGACGTCTTCTGGTGAGTTTCACAACCTTCTTCTTTATCGTCCTCCTAGCCTTCTTGTTTTCCGATTGAACGGTGGTGTCATCCGGTCGGCACGTCTTGATTTAAACCCTCGGGGAATTTCCTCAGGTTTTCAAGAGAGAACACTACCTTTTCCTTCCCTTCTTTTAGAGATGCCTCGTCGTCGCCCTGTTCCCGAGAATCCATCGGCTGGTCCCTCGGGGTCAGGGAAATACAAGGTGACAGGCGAGGCGCAGATCGATAGGTTCAGGGCGAAGTATGGCATCCCCCCGAGCGTGGACGTAGTGGGTTTTAACCCTTTGTTGAACTCTCCTACCTTCGGGGCCGTGGATGCCATGCCTTTTTATACCAAGGCCATCATAGAGGGTGGCATTAGGTTTCCTTTACCCCCCCTGCTTCTTCAGTTCCTGTCTCGCTTCCGTCTCTTCCCCGGGCAATGCTGCCTCAACGTCTTTCGGATAATTATGGGGGTCCTAGAGCTCAATAGGCGCCTCGGGGTGAATATTGGGCTCAACGATCTCCTTTTCTGTTACTCCCTCCTAAGAGTCATGCCCCACCAACATTTCTACCTCAAAGCCAGGGACCCCTCCATGTACCTTGTAACCCATCTTCCTGATTCGGACAAGGGATACAAGGACGACATCTTGATCTTCAAGGGATGTTGGGAGAGGGGTGTTGGTCCCGAGTACAATGACTTATTTTGCCCTCGGGAATGGAGAACGACAAGTACGTCGGTTCCTTTGGGTCTTTTTATTTGTTTCTTGGGACTTCTCATGTTTATGACAATTTTTTTTGTTGTGCAGATATTCCTTCTCGGGAAACAGCTCCACCCCCTCGGTCGCTGGTCAATTTTGCCGACTTAATAACGGTTTGGAGTTTCACGGGCGCCGACGGATTTGGCCGAGCTGCCCATAATCTGCTGCACTATACCCCCGGGTATAAGAAGTTCTCACAGCTCCCTCAACCTTTCGAGCCTTCGCAGTGGTCAGAGCTCTTTGATCAGGCGGCGAGGTTAGAGGTCGAGCAGAACTTGGAGGAAGACCCGGATCGGGCTTCAGAGGGAGAGGTAGAAGGAGTTGCTGAGGTCGGGGTCAGAGAGGACGTTGCTCCTTCGGACGCCGAGGTGGGGACTTCGGGAGGCGACCTGTGGCCGGATTTTCAAATTCTCCAATCTTTGGACGCCGAAGACGCTCTCGAGGAAGCGATGTCCAACGCCCCTCGCATCAATTTGGGGTTTCTTAGGCAGAGGCAATCCCTCGCAGCCGGGAGAGGCCGAGGGACGACCGGCGGTACTCCGGCAGGAACCAGTTCCGCCAATTCTTCGAGGGCTCCCGGTCAGGGTCAGGTGCGAGACCGGGATCCTCAGGTGGAAGAAGAGAGGAGGGTAAAGCATCGGCATGACGGCCTCAGCCGGGGACCCAGGGCATCTCCCGCTCAACCTCAAAGCGGGAGGGATCGTGGGTTACCGCCTGCTCCCCCACAACAGCAACAACAACAGCAGCCCCGACAACAGCAACAGCTGCAGCAGCAACAACAGCAACAGCAACAGCAGACCCCTCCTCCCGTTCCGCCTCGGGGGGAGGCCGCAGAGTGGAATCCTCGAGCCACTGATCACATGAACAGAGTGATCAGGGTCGATGATTCTATTCTGTCGGATCCTCATGTCGCTAATGCAGTGAGTGAGACACTGCATTTCGAGGCCGACATGGAGGCTCATAGGGGGCGATCAACCAACGTGTTGTTCCGCTCCATGATCCAGAATTCCCTGGTGGTGAGTTTATTCCTGTTTTGATCCCTTCACTCTCGTTTTCTATTTTTGTGTTTTTAACACTCTTTTCCTTCTTTTACAGGCTACCCAGCAGATTTCTATCATTGCTGGCCGGTACCACGCGTCCAGGATGGACCTTCAGAGGGCCAAGGATCAGAAGGCGGAAGCGGAAGCTGCCCTTGCTCGGGCAACGGAAGATGTTGCTGCCAGGGAT